ATTATTTACTACTTATTGAAGATTTCAAGCATAAATTATTTTGCTACAGTATTAAAAGACAGATATTTGATATAATACTAGAAATTTATAAATAGAGAAATATTATACATGACATTATTATGTATTTACTTTATTGTTATTACACAGTTCATCATTGATAGACACACTATTGCACTTCTAGTGAATATGAACTCAACAATACTAAATAGTAAAAATTAACATATGTATGTATATATTTTATAGTACAGTCGAACCTCTATAACTCGAAAACCTCTATAAGACTACAATTGTGTTCATCCCCTTCCGCTCCGCTGTGAAAACCTCTATAAGTCCAGTCCAGTTGCATTATTTTTCCTCTGTAACTCGAGTTTAGAATATCTAGACCTCTACAAGTCGAAGTTTACCTCTATAAGTCGAGCTTCTATCGCCGCTGCCTTTGCAACTCGAAACCAATCATTCGATATTGTTTCCTTTCTTTCTTTCAACTCCTTTATAACCATTATAATAACCTAGCATTCGTCTTATAATTATGTTTATATATTTATACAATAAATATTTTACGTTCAAAAATGGAATTTTTCTTTCTTTAAGCCATTACAATTGAAAACTTAGTATGTCGAATATCCGTTTGTTAAATCTTTTACTCAAAAATTTGGATATGTCGAAACCTCTATAACTCGAAGATTTTAGCACTTCCCTTGAGATTCGAGTTATCGTGGTTCGACTGTAAAACCACAAGCCTCATTTCTAATATACATTAAGTTAATTAAACAATTAGAAGGAGTACTGTGTATGTACAAATGTGTGTTAAGATGTTTAGAAATTTGTTAAATTCGGAGTTCCGTTTGATGTTAAAATTCTGTAATTTGGAATAATTTTTATTACTCATCTATTCCGTTTTCCAGATGGTGGAAAGGAAAAGAAAAACAGTGTTTCCATTATTCAAACGAAACCCAGTGAAACGCAAGAAAAAGTGGTTCCTGATATTCAACCAAGCAAAACGTATAAGACAAATTCCATGGAAGAAACGAAAAATCAAGCGAAAGGCACGAAGATTATTGTGAATCCTGCGATCGAACAGAACATTATTAATTCTTCTGAAGATAATGGATTACGGCCCCAAAAAACTCAGGTGAGATAAACTAATATTTTCATGAATTACCATTAGAAAAAGAAATTACGCTTCATTAAGGACCACAATACAATGTTTGTTCGCAAACATTTTTCAGTATTATAATCGCATTATTTATTAATCCGAAGTTTTATATTACGCTGTAAAATATGAAAATAGATATAAATCCGTCAGATGTGCACAGTTTAAATATCTGTATTGTAGAAGCAAGGTGTACCTACTTTCTTTTCACCAAGTTAACTTTTCCCAGTTTAAGTCGCTCGTTCGTGCTTATCTATGAATGCATAGTGCATGTAGACATATACAAAATTTCTACTTTTAAGCAATCATGTAAACCTAAAAATTACTTTTTAAATGTAGTACCGCATGTATGATTCAATGTTCTTAATGAGCTTCATGCTATAAAATTCGTTGAACTTATGGACGAGCGTCTATTTCATTGTAATACTGTAAATACATTTATTAAAATACTGTAAAAATTTATACAAACGTCGGAATGACAGCAAAAAACCATTTCTCTAAGCCTTATAAAAATAGCGGTGCAAAGTCAAATTTTTTTGACAGCGATCGATAACCGAGAAGTCACGCGTACGCGTCGTTCACGATGGCGCGCGGGTGAATTTCTGTTCGCCCGTCCCTGAGCGCGGGCTCTACGGGCGCTGTGATTGGCCAGTGTTTTTCGTTAATAATTCGAAAACGAAGCTTCAAACTACATTTTGGAAAAGGAAAAAGTTGTTCAGGGTCACCCCAGCAACCCCCCATTTTCGGATGTTCAAAGAGTTACGGGACACCCTGTATATGTATATACAATACATATTCTGTTAATGAAATATACTAACATGTAAGCACAACTTAAGTAAATTTAACACAGGATAGGGTATTAACCAAAAATGTATTAAAGTGTAGTGGTAAGCGACTGCTAAAATGCTTCGGTGTCCGTCTCGCTCGACGGCTATTTCAAAAGTGTCCTCTCCGCGTCGTATCCCGCGTTGCTCCGAAAAACCGTTGGAGCCCCTCGTTCGACTTTCCGGGGAAAGGGCTTAGTTTATGGTACCCTCAGGTACCCGCGCGCTTTCTCTTCCTGGGTGACAAAGTCCAGGCCACCACTTCGCCGCCGAAATCTCGCATTTCTTACAAACAATTGTGGCAATGCGCGTATTTGAACTTATTTTACCTTTTTAAATTTATATCAAAGTATTTAACACATCGCCATTGTTTACTGAAGTTGCATTTCATATGTCCACCTATCTTAATTTTTCGAAGAAAATATTACGGATACAACAAATGTTACACATTAATAACAACAAAATTCTTTTTAATAATTTGAGAGTTCATTGAAAGCTTTTATGTGATGTATAACATACCTTATTTTACAGTTTATTTGAAATGAAACGGTGTTTAAAGTTTTACATTATTTAAAAATTTGAAAAGATAATAATGATAATAATAATGATGTTTATTTCAAATAGTTGTAAAAATATGAGGTATAACACCCTTTCTATAGAAGAACTTTGAGATAAAAATGAAACATGTCGAGACCACAATCTTGTGAGTTAGAAATTCTTTTATTAAATTTATAAAATAACTTTATGTATTTTTGAACATTTTGCATTTCTTTTTTTAATGTTTAATATAGTGATGTGTGGCGACCAGCTGTAGGGCAGAAGCAAGTATTTGCCGCGTGGACGACCAACACGGTTTATGACGGGCGCGCTAGCAAAGCTATTTTTGAGAAAACCGTTTTAGTCTGTTTAATGTTTAGTAAATCTAACAATGCATGTTTTCGTAGAAACTTTCACCAACGGTCTCAATAGCAATTTACCAGGTCATAAACCAAGGGTTGCCGAAAGGTCCGCGTACGGGCCCAGAGGCCCAGGCCACATGTCCCAAATACCGGACCTGGAGGAAAATGCGCGGCGTTGCCAAATGCGCTACAGCGGACAATACGCCCCCACCATAATTCGCCGCGGTCCTGGAAAAAGCGCGCCAAGGGCGTAAAGGACTAGCGGCGGGTTAAAGACAAAATTGCTGATTGGTTACAACCAATCAGAAAAAGAAGAGGGTGAGAAAGAAGCTCGCGAGGTGACTTAGAGAGTCAGAGTCAGTCAAGCAGACAGTCAGCAAGCAATAAGTAAAGTGTAAACCTCGTGAGCAAGATAAATAATAAAGACTAAAAAAGGGAAGTTACTGTGTGGGTACTAAGTAACCCAGATCACGCACTATCCTCCTATCCTTAAATACCTCTTATCAGATAAATAATAAAGACTAAAAAAGAGAACTTACTGTGTGGGTACTAAGTAACCCAGATCACGCACTATCCTCCTATCCTTAAATACCTCTTACAGATGTATCATTGATATAAAGTACTAATGTTATCCAAAACTACATAAAGTGTAAAATATATTTTATTCAAATGTAACTTACTTTAAAGAGACACAAGTTAACGTCATTCCCTTCAAAACGATCAATGAATACTGTAATGAAGTGAAATGTTTGTTACATAAAATAATTACTGAATTTTCAAAATAAGAAGAAGTTATATTACTATTTTGAATTTTTTAATGGGAACAATGTGCAATTGTGAACAAAGTAGTAATTATGCAAAAAAGGGGACTCCTCGCTAATTTCAATGACCTTGAAATTTGTGTTCAAGGTTATCATTTTGAACAACTTTTTCCTCTACGTGTTACCGCCGCTCGATCCTAGTTTCCGAGATATTCTCAAGAAACTTTCTGGCATAGGCGGTCGCCTGACGGTGACCACTGTTAGTATGTAACCGAATCTAAACCATGAATTTGTCTTAAGGAAGACAAGTTGTTGGTGTAAAAATATCTGTTTATGAGGTAAGAAGAGATAATTGGATATACATTTTTAGGAAGGATTGTTTGCAGTTTTTGTAATAGTCTTTTATGCCAGACTTTATTAAAGGTTTTCTCAATGCTCAAAAATATTACGGTACAATATTTACCTTCTTCTATGGAACGGATTATGTTATTCACCACTCTATGAATTTGTTCCATTGTGTTATGGTTTATTTTTAAACCTAAACTGGTGATTTTAAATTAAATGTTTTGTAGTAATTTCGTACATTAGTTTTTTATGGATGGTTTTTTCAATAATTTTGAAGATTATTGGAAGGAGAAAGAATTTTGGATTTTTGCCTGGTTTATGCAGTAGTATTATTTCTGCACACTTTTAGATTTACAAGAAATGACCTATCCTGAATATGACGTTTGTCGGGATTGTTAAGAATCTCAGTGCCTTTTCCGGTAGTTCTTTTAGCATTTTCGCCGTTATGAGGTCATATCCGGGCGTTTTGTTGATCTTTAAGTATTTTATTATTGTTAAGATTTCTTTTTTTTTAACTGCTTTGTGAGTCAGTGATTTGTTGTTGTTGTTAGATAAGGGAGTGTGTGATTTATTTGTAAATATTTCTTGCAGGTAGTCGGCTATGGTTTTTACTTGATCTTCTATACATTTCGTCCACCTTCCATCTTGCTTTTGAATCGGTAGTATCGGTATAATTACTTTTTTGAAACATTTTGTATTTCTCCATAATGAATAGTTTGTTCTTTTACTGTAATCCAGGTTCGTAATAAAGTTTCTAATGTTATCGTTGTTTATTTTACGGATTTGTTTCTAATTTTGTTAGTAAGTGTATTCACCTGACTTTTGTACCGAGGCCATCGTGTATTTTGCCATATTTTTCTTATTCTTTTTCTATTTTCGATTAATTGCGTTATGTATTTCAGGTATTTTGTTGTTGTTATTTCTCTTGTTTTATTACTTGTTAAAATATATGCTGGTGTTTGTAATATGATGGTTAAAGCTACTTCTGCTATTTCTATATCATATGCTGGTTTTAAGAGTAGATATGTTACAGTGTAGGTTATTATTTATGAATTCTCTGTACGTTGTCCAGTTTGTTGTATTGTTCGTTAACGTTGCTTTTTCAGTATTTGCTGCATTTTGTTCGAGTTCGATGGTTGTTGGTGTGTGGTCTGAGGACAATTCAAATAGTTCTTTCGCTTTTATGTCAAGATCTGTGTTGGTAATCGCTATGTCAAGTATGTCTGAGTGTTTTATTCGTGTCTGTTGGCCAGTATGTCGGTCTACCTGACGAGTATACCTTTAATTGACTGCTGATTATACAGGGTGGCTCAGCTAAATGGAATTACATACCTAAATATCTCCCTTCTTTGCTGTTGCATGAAAAAAGTTTTTAGGACAAAGTTACATTATTTCAGGGGGCACATGTAATCGTGGTAACGGTTTTTTGTCAAG